TTCTCGTATCGTTGGTACCTGAAGCTTTCAATATTTTACCATGTGGTTGTCACGAAATTGAGTCTCGTATGTTCGCATTTGCATTAGGCTAACATGTAGTGGATTCGACATAGTTCGTGCGCAGCAAGCCTGTGGGGATTTACCTTGGCGATCCCCCATTGATAGCTGGTAAACACGCTAGCACCCAACGCGGACGAGCCGGGGTATCATGACATCATTCGACGAATAATCTCGTGAACCCTTCCCAACAACACCGCGTTCATCGTCAGCTACCACAATCAATGTGACCGCCAATATCACTTAAGCATCCTTAGAAGCGCTTGTAGAGCAACTTGTGATGATACTGACCCACATCCTGCAATGGGGAGGCGGGCGCATGTGAGACGCGACGCGACGCGTCAAGGCAACAGCTTCCAGTACCACATCCTCTACTTCTATAATCTGATGAGTACACCCTAGTGCATGAGAAACCTTCTTATTCTCATATCACACGACTTTTCCAAGACAGTATGGCTAGTCTTCCCGCCATCGACGTCGCAATCACTGCTTCGCCTGCCGTTTTCGATATCGACGGATCGACCGAGTTGAGCATTCGGCTCAATCTTGCACTTCGTCACGATAGACCGATCACATTGTACAAGAGAGAGACCAGTCTCTTCGACGGCAAAATCCTTCATGCTCAGGGTCTTACATTCACCGATACCAAGACCGGGCAGCATGTGCCACGCAACACGATCAATCTATGCTACTTCCAAAGCGAAGGCGGGATATCATGGGCTACTAGATGCAATTACGTTACACTATACCCAGGGCAAACACATGTTATCGAGACACGCATTATACCTCGGGACGCTGACGGACGAGAAAAGACGAGCTCCACAAACGACACTTCGTGGTTGAGATCGATCAGGTTTGCTGGATTCGAAGACGGTCATACATACCGAGTAGGAATAGCCAATGATGCTGTGGTTGATAAGTGGCTGGAAGGGTCGATATGGGGAATCTTGGGATGGCAGAAATTAGGTTGGGTACCGAAGACTGTGCGCGCGGATATCAGGTATACAGTCGTTCAGTCGATGGCATTCACGGTTAAGCGATCTGATGCCCAAGAGCCACCCAGAAGTCTTGTCTCGATGGTTGATTCGCTTCACCGAGCGTCCGTTGACCAAGAGAAGGCCCCGTGTTTCGAAGTCGTCTAGACTATACACGATTATCACTCCCAGTACCTGCGTCGGTCTTTCTTCCCACCAGCAATCATGTTCACAAGACTCTTCTTCAGATCTCCGGTCATTGTGCAAACAATCTCCTCCGTTCCCGCAATTCTGTTGGGAACATTCTTCCAGCTTACACGCTTCTTTAATTCCCCCTTCTCGACGTCCCTAACAAGTTCGCTCAGCAATTGCGCATTGAACCTGTAAAAGCCCACGAAATGGCGTCTATACACCAGATGCGATAGCTCGTGCAACATCGTCCTCGTCAGATGATGGATGGCAATGAAACAACTGGGATCATCATCTTCACGTAGCCGCAATTCCATGTTCAGGGGAATAGTCTGCCTGACTTTACTGGATCCGTGTCTAGTAATTCGCTCTACAGTCTGACATTTGCCGTGGCAAGAGGAATAAGGAGAGAGCTCATGCAGCATGGGGACGGACCAACTATGGCGGCGCATAATGGGCGCGATGATGTAGGCGCAACGGCGGAGCAGGTAAAGGGCGTAGGCTTGGTGGGGAAGGTGGTCGAGGGTTGTGTAGCAGGGGAAGTAACCATCTAGACCGCGTTGGTAGGAAAGCTGGGAGAGGTGGTGGTACATGGTTGGGTTGAAGCGCCGGACCCCTGCTTATGGATCCTAAACAAGGTCCGCAACTTTTCCATAGAGGTATAATCAGCAGATAAGGAATAGGGAGAGAGATAGCGAGCTAGAGTGGTCAGTGAAGACCTCGATCAATGGTAATAGCAGGCCGTAAATCTCACTGCTTTCCAGTGAGCGCGGACTTGCGATGAATGCCAAAGCTAGTTGTAGCGACCCTAACCAGTGAAACCAGCATGAACTCTCAATTATATCATTGTATCGATCGTGGTGTTACTACCTGAGTTATGTCATCTTATCACGATTCTGTGGCCTCAAATATCTGCGCAATGCTCATAGATGACAACGTAGAGCATTTCTCAGTCTGAGATGCATCGTCAAAGGCCTTCTTCTCATGATCTTTAACATGCGTTTTCGCATTTAGACCACGCACAATGCTATTGAACAGTCTTGATTCGACCCGTCAAGAAGACAAAGGAACTTCCATTTCTGGTTTGGAACAGAGGTATGACTCTGGTTCGATCGGTATTTACTCACACTCGCACTGCTAACACAGCACAACAGACGCCAAATAGTTGCAGCAAGATCGATCTCCACGGTGTCCGTTTTCAGCGTGAACAAACGAGAACAGAAGGCTGGAACGTAGATAGAAAGTTTCTTTGATAGGTTTTCTGGCGGCCTTTGAAGATATGAGACATACAAGAGAAAGAACGAAGCAAAACATTGATGTCTATAACCCAAGCCCAATGTAAAGCTTCCTCGGGAAGGCTCTCGGGTGCCCACTTTGTACTGACTTCAAAGTCGTGCCGGAAACCTCGCTTAAGTGACACTGATACCTCTAAAAGTACCACATGTTGTGGCGTTATGCCCCCTTCCTCCTTAAGAAGATCGTCCTTGTAGCGTTCTATGCTATCAGCTTGTCCACGTTCGCAGTGGCGGAACTATCTGTGGCCATAATGATAAGGTCGGGTCCGTTGGAGTGACGGAACTGAATCGAGGACTGTGATCTCAACACATGAAATCGCATCTCATGGACCAAAAAATATGAGATATGCACCTACGTTGGGGGGACTTGCTCGAGCTCGTCGATAGGGTTGCGTTGCTAGCCCTGAAGCAATACTGTATTGTAGCCTTTCAATAGAGTATGTAGTCTGTGACAGCAGAATGTATCCATCATCTACGTAATATTCGTTGCATTGGAGCATGCGCATTGAGATTCTACAAACTTTCTTTGATCCTGGTTCATTCTCCCGATCAACAAGACAGTGTAGATCACAATCCAAAGCATGGTACTATGAAAAGTCGAGTCGAAAGTAGGCCACAACACGACCATATCCAAGACAAAACTGAAAAGCGTTGCCAACATCGCACAATAGACTGTAAGTGATGTTTCTAGTTGGACATTTGTCAAAGCCCGGATAAGACAGAGAATACCGAGTGTTAATAGGAACGTAAAGACACACCAAAGACACCACTCAAATCTCTTCATGAGGCCAACGACAAATTTGAAAGACCTTGTTAGACATGCTAGACAAAGCTTGGTGAAAATTGGCTTCATCTTCAAACCCTGTTGGTTTATTAGCCTCGAGCTACAGTTCATGTCTCACTCATAGACATACTGCTCTTCTAGTCACGTCTCTTAATTCCTCTGGGATTTCGTCAAGAATAAATCTTCTATATCTCTGATTCCTATAACGGTCGTGTTCCGCTCGCAATCGAACGAGAGCTTTCGTTCTCCCCTCACCGTAAATCAATGGCATTTACACGTCGAAGCAGCCCAAAAGACAATACGCAGCGTCCTCTTCGCGCTTCGTTTGTCGATGGGCCGTCCACTTCAACCTCTCTTCGACGCTATATCTTCGAAACCATCGCGGATGGGTTTTGAAGAGTTCGAGTGGTATCTTACAATGTACCGCGATTGAGTCGGCGAAATCTTCCAGACGTCCCAATGTTTCACCATTTGCAGCGAAGAATATCACTTCTCTAGGCGCCAGTAGTTCCTGGAACGTCCAACCACGCGTGAACCATCTGCTTCCCAGAAGCGACGCAATGAGAACTCCATCTCCTGCGATGTTCCAGGTCCGTCGAGGAACATCTGATAGGTAAACGTAGCATACCGTCGAGTTCTTGTACCATTTATACATTGAGTTGATTGCCTCGGTAAGCTCTGCACTGCTACTCTTGTCTATACAGCATGTATCGATCTGGTAAGAACAATTAGTAAAAGAGGTAGAAAAGAAAAGAGGGCGGATCATAGGTACTCAAAAGTATCCAATCCGGTCTCTGGTAGTCTGCTGCGCACAGAACATGAGTTTCTCGTAGCCAGGCTTTGTCCTTCCCTTCCCTTGCCCTTTGTATATGTCCTTAAATGTGACCTCCTCATGGTCCGTACCCCACGTATGTGAGAGGATGGCGTACGGTGGAATGTTGTCGATAAACTCAACGAGGCTGGAGTCTGTTTCGCCGTTGGCTCGTTGCACACGCTGTAAAAGACGCATGAAGGCTGCTGAATGAAGCGCCGCAAGCGAGCGCGTTTTTGAGCAGCGAGGTACCTGATTCGTGAAATGATGGTACAGCAATATTGATTCGAACTGTGGAAAGTAAAGCGCAAAGTAGTGATAAAAGACGCTACGGTGGGGGCCTGAAGTGAGGCTGAGCGCGCCACGCACCGATCAGCCCTGCTCAACAGTCTGCCTTCGTACTACCTAAGCAGGCAACCACCAAATCTGATCCTTCCAAGTAACAGAGCACAAGTCTTCACCAGAATAAGCCTGAGCTGCAACACAACAATTAAGTTTCTTTGTTGACCTAAGGCATCTCATTTTCGAAAGCAGAAATCTAGGACTCCAAGTGATGCGATAGTCTAGGTATTGTAGCGCCAGTATGCAGTCCAATTCGCATATACCTAGGTACGCTAGGTGCTGTAGGACTTACTGCCTAGTCATATCGATGTGGAACGTGTAGATTGTAGCAACGGCTAAGCTACTGTTCAACCCGGACTTTTGTGAATGGAGAAGGTGCAAAACGGAACGAGATCATGGAGAAACCGATCGGAACGCTGAGATTTGGATCATATAAGGCGCCTGCGACAAATATCCGTGACGAGAAGTATTTCGCATCGGCCTTTGCTACGGTAACGGTGATGTCGCAGTAGTCTCAGCAAGCCGACGTAGATGGCTGTTTCTCGAAGATGTCAAATCCCCCTACGGAACGGAGCCTGGCGCTGGCTTGCTTCGTGGCACATGTGCTACGATGGGTTTTCGATTCACCGTTCCATGTCGACGATCCAGAGTGGGATGATATGAACAACGAATACTCTTGGGTTGCAAAAATGTGTAAGTACATCACCCATGAAGAGATGACGAAGCTGACTATCCCAAAGGCGGCCTTCAGATGGTGAGAACATTAGACACCCTAGCCACTATCGGGATGAGCCAAAACGGTCACTTCAGAGAATCTGAAATCCCCAATCTAGCTGCGAAGCAGTCTGCAGACCTTTATGACGAGTTTGCTAACTACCTTCCTTTGAACCAGTCGCTCAATCATGATGGCTTCAAGCTCAAAGGCTGGTTGCATGAAGTCATGCGATTGAAGTTGGAGCTTCTGGTTTCGCGATATCATCATCGAATCGAGTTCGTCAGGCCGGGAACCATGTTCGATAGCAGCTGGATGACCGAGATACCCGACGAAGAGGGCAGCGCATTGGTAACAGACACGCAGTATCGTGTTCGTCTTTGTGTCAGCCCCGCTCTCGTGGGTCGTATCGACGATACGAAGTGGTCGCAAGGACCTGTATCAACTCACGAACCTGAAGAGTACAAGCTTGCTCTTTTGGAATCCATAGACTTCTTCGCCGAAAACCCCGTTCAGGAAAAGGCTTCACCCCGAGACGGGTTTATCAGCCGAGCCGTGGTACTTGTGGAAGCAGTGCCAAAAGATGGAGGTATGGAAGCACGATCGCAGTAGACATCCCGTCGGTTTCTTGATCTTACTCGTTCGTAGGAGTTTAGAATCGGTTGCGTTGTTGGTTTCGTCGATGATGCTGGACGTGTAATGGCTAGTTTCGCTTGTTGCACCATTCTGAGCTGATGATGATTACTAGTTGCGGGGGAAGAGGCTGGGCTACGAGCACTGTAAGCGAAAGCGAAGAGTTGGTGTCGCGTAGCGATGCTGCCACCGGGTGATGGGGTCTCAAAAGGCGAACATATGCACTGCAATGTATGCATGCGATTAGCGAAACATAGTATTACATGGTTTCTACTTGGACGGCAAAATATAGATAACATACTCTTGTTTTACAATCATGTCCAATCGTGCGTCGCTATTAGGCCTCCTCAATGCAGCGGTCTCCGCATCGTGCCATCATAGTATCTATATCATGCAATCCTTAACTGCAGGCAACTTCCTTGGCTAGCAACAGTGTATTCTGCTGGTGCGACTCAATCTTCCGCAACATTCTTACATTGAGAGTTTACCTTGACCCAGCGCGAAGTCGTTTCTGTGGAGCGATGCGACGTACTGCACTCAGGGGACAACATGAGCTTCTTGAGAATTTGCTAGGACATCGAGATTACTTCTCTCGCAATCGTTAGAATCGTTGTCGTCTAGTAGTGCTTACTTCAATAGCCGGTGGGAGTACTGTGATGAGCGGCCCGAACATAGTAAGCTTTTAGAGTAGTTACCAAGGGTACCATAGAACACCAACGGTAAAGGTCAGGCACTTCGCCCGATCGACGACTGATCTACCGAACACTCTACCCCTGCGATCTCGAGTTGACTCCACGATTGTGTCCTGTTCGAACCGTCCCCAACTTCAGCCTTGGTTTTGGGTCCTGCGACGTCGACCGAAATTGGACCCGGCGCGTTGGGCGCAACCATTGGTAAGTAAAAGCGCCGATTCGCAATGCGTACGACAGTACGTGTACAGTGGTATCGGGTGCCTCTCGGGTCCTAGGATGCCGTTCGATTGTAGCCCAAAAGCATCGTCGAACAAACTTAGATTCAGCGTCATACAGTAATGCGAGCCAATTGAGGCTCCACGGGTGAGGCGTTGCGTTGCTTTTCCTGCTCCTCGGCAGCGAAAAAGAATGAAAAGGTGGGTTGCCGCACGTGAAAGGAAAAGCTGCGTCGTAGGAGGCGCGCAGCAGAGCGCCAACCTGGAGTGCAGGGGATGAGCAGTCAAACGGCATTTTCCAGCTACCTTGATATCAACGCAATGGGCATATGTAACGGTTTTCACCGCGATCGATCATGTTTGGCCTGGAAAGGGGAGGGTTCGGTGGGCGAGAAGACAGCCTGGTGCTTTAAGCGCACACCCCTCTTTCCCTTACTCGGCATATGTGATGCGCAACCCATAGCTTCTCGCGCGTGCGCCTCACCCACTTTTGATAGGAGATCAGCATGATGTCGACTTAACGGCATGTAGGGCTGTCTATGAGTCGAATCTGGTATGATTGACAATATGTCTGACAAGTTGAGGGTTGTCGAACATCTAGGCAGTACCGAAACGTACTAACCCCTTGGCGTCGCGTGGTGCCCAGCTCATGGGGTCGCCTACGAATCGTAAGATGTGGAGAAGAGATCCGCTCTGTTTCCACAACACCATACCCTTTTGCAGCACTACGCTGTCGACGATCCTTATGTCGCAGAGGCTAAGTCCCTCCTCATCGGTATCATCCTTAGGCTCAGATCCTTCAGTGCGGGAAAGGAGGACCGAATAAACCCTGCTCCGCGGGGTGGAAAAAAACAAATGAAAATTTTAGTAAAAACAACAGCATGTTAACGACACTGTTGTGCAGTCTATTCCGTGCTTCATCTATGTGAGGGAGCAAGCGACGAATATACAGCTCTTCCCGTGCGAACTCTCGGCTACAGGCCGTTGGTAATCTCCACAGCAAGTTTCAGCGAGAAAAGGCCGGCCTCGGGTCATCGCGGCTCACCCATATCTCAAGATCCGGTCTAAAGGCTACCCGCAGACGTCTTAGGGCCACAGTTATTCTGCTCACCAACTTCTAGCGAAGGTTGATCTTACCTATTTCCCAGCGTTCCCACCTCTCGACCTACCTCGGCGACTCGAAGTGTTATCGAGCAGCTGCGCGCGTATTGTCGATGACCGATCTGCAGATTTTCAGGGAGTTTTGCTTCTCTGTATTTGTTTGCAATGAGGCTGCGAGCCCGTCAGCAGTCTGCAGATCAGGTTGCGACGTTGTGAGATCGGCTAGACGACTGCGACGGAGGAGGTAGCGTCCTGTCACCTTCAATGGGCCAGCACTAGGATGCCGGCCCGGGCCTGAGCCAACCAAGTTCTGGTGCGGTTGGACTCTTGGAGGCTCCTCTTTAGACGGTTCGCAACAATGTACCGCCAAAATCAAAGCTCCATACTACAGCGACGTAAGAGATGAGAGTGCGTAGTATATGCGTACAGACATGGGGCTCATCTCTACATTCGATCCGTGCATACTTAGCTCCATCTAGCAGGCACGAAGGATGATCATGGTTTTGTGTGCACAGATTTTTACGCTTCGCTTACAAGTTTCCGCGAATGAGAGTTTCCCATCTCCTGTACGACATCGCCCCGTCCACGCCACGTTCCTGCATATGTGCACCCCTCCGGTATTCGACTGATCCCCCCGAATCCACAGCATCCTTCGCCGTTCGGTGGAAGTCCCGAGAAGGAATCACATCCACGATGCCTTGGCCCTCATGCAATTCTACGATCATTCCATCAGGGATGATGGCAGCCGAAGGAGCCACCTGCATCGAGATGAAACATTGCACCCGGCAAACATGGTTGGTGGCACCATATACGCCATTGCAAAACGTACGAACCACGAACGGTTCAAGGGCATCCCGTACATAATTATCGCACGGAAATGACAGTTGAAGTTGAACAACTTCTCCAATATGCCTCACGGACGGACTGATTACTACACCTCATGGACTGGGTCCCTTGCACATCCCGGAAAGACCGGAACATCGCAAGGAACGTGTTGAGACCGATCTCACACACTTGGTGGCTCTCGCGTTTTCGACTCAGGGCCATGCCGAAGGTTTTCTGACAGGGCTGCAGACCCTGGCACCCGCGGAGCTATTGGCGAATGTCACTTGTTCAGTGGGTGTACGGAAAGTGGGGACGTGCATAAGCGCGGTTAAAGGTACAGCCACCATCGATGCGCATACCCCCAATTTCGTTCAGAGACCCTGAGCAGATTGTGAAATACTCCATGTTTCCCGCAAAAGACGCCTGATTCACCTGATCTGGTCATCTTCAGGCCTACACTATCACATCATGGCTGGATCATTATCTGATAACCCGAGGGGCAGGCAAGCCGTTGAGATCTCTACGGTGTTTACTGGTTTAGCCTTCATAGTCGTCTGCCTTCGACTATACACACGGTTCTTTCTAATTCGCTGCGTGGGGATCGAGGATGCCGGCATAGCACTTGCGATGGTAAGTAACTTCCACGCCACGTTGTGTAGACTCTTGCTAATCTTCTGCTAGCTTTGCTCCATAGGCTTGACCATCTGCATCGGTGTCCGTCAGTATTCCCCTTACATCCAACCACAGCTCTTTATGGAGGCTAACATTCTGTAGAGGCCAAAAATGGTATGGGCAGACACACCGACACTATCAACGATGGTGATATGACCACGTTCCTAAGAGTACGCAACACTCATCACTCATGCTAAATCTCCACTAACACCAAGCTATAGGCTTTCTGGGCCAGTCTTATCGTGTATTATCTGTCACTCGGCTTGACCAAGGGATCGATGCTTCTCCAGTACCGACGTATCTTCCCGACCAAGTCTTTCCAGGTCGCAAACTGGATTACAATGGCTGTTGTCATCAGCTATACTATCTGGACGGTCTTCTCCAGTATCTTCATGTGTGTACCCGTGCGAGCTTTCTGGACACATGAGAAGGCTACCTGCCTTAATCAATTCGCCGTCTGGTTCACCAACGCCGCCATCAATATCATCACGGATTTCGCAATCATTCTCCTCCCTATACCAGTCATCCGGAAGCTCAACTTGGGCAAAAGGCAAAAGATTGGACTCATCTCGATCTTTGCGATCGGTGGATTGTAAGTACCCCTCACTCGTATCACCTTGTTTCCATCGGGCCTTTGTGCAAGTGGTTGCACATGTGTTTCATCGTGTAACCACAAGTGGCTTGGTTATCGCGTTGTACCTTGTTGCATTCCCGGCTCTTCTCGCGGTCGGTTGGGCAGCAGATCTACCCCTGCTTTCAGCTGTTACAAAGAAGTCACACTAACGCGCAACCTTGCAGTGTTTGCCTGGTATCTATTCTGCGTCTACAGTCCCTTGTAGCGATCTCAAACTCCGCCGATCCAAGCTACGACAATCCCCCCGCAGCGACTTGGAGTTCAGTGGAATCCAACGTTGGCATCATTTGCGCCTGCTTGCCGTTGCTTAGGCCATTAATCACCAAATGGCTTCCAAGAGCCTTCCCGTCAAGACACCGCAGCATATATTCGCACTCTCGACCTCAGAATCGAACATACGGCAGCAGGGGTGGCAGCAAAGCGCTACGCACCAAGGACGACTACGTTCTAGACGTAACAAAGCGCTCGAACGGTTCGAGCGAGGAAGGGCGAGACATCCAGGTCGTGACCGACATCCACGTAGAGGTTGACGGTGCCGATGGAAGGAGAATAAGTGGCTGGAGAACGCCTGCGTCGCACAACAACTGGTCAGACAATATTTCGGGCAAGGAAACCCAACGGGAGAACAGCACTGAGTCGCTGGTCAATCAACACGTGCGGGTGTCCTCACGGTAGATTTTAGATCTTTCTTATGTTCACTCCACACCCTTTGATCACAGTTTCGTAACGATACCCCATGACCTATATCTTATTAATAGAGAGTGCTTCGACTCTTGTCAGTACCCACATTCATTTCAACTAGCCTTTCATTGCGTAATTGCTTATTGTTCATTTGCCTCAAACAACTTGATGGTGCATCACGCTTCCAAGCTACATCAAACGTTAGACGCTATTTGTAACAGCATCGTCCAAAGCCTTTTCCCTGCATATCAATCGAATGACTTGAATATGATTACTAGAACCTCATACATGCAGATTTGACTCGATCAAAGGATATGGCTCAAATGTCCCCACGGTGCCTTGCCAAGGAGAATCCCCGCCGGTGATTCTGTGGCGTGGGTTGCGGCCCTCGAGGGCTACCTGACCGTCGCTCAAGACACTTTTAACGAAGCTAACACTTCGCCAATCACTCTGCTGCGAGTTCATATATACATTCGGCATTAACAAGCAACTCGTCGCCACGCTCGAGCACCACCTCACTATGGCTGAGCTAATGAGCAACAATGAATTCACCGTGGTGAAGAACGCTCAGCGAGCTACAACAAGTACACTATCTTCTTCAAACCACCTGCTAAGTCGGCTGATCGGAAGATCTGTGAATTAGAGCACACTTCTGTTGCGACGATTCACGTGCATTCACTTGCGCGTCTGACTAGTACGACGCAACACTGCTAGCGCAAATGATTGCCTCCTGTCATTGTATAGAGGCTTGTTCAAGCTCTCTATCTGCTGACCCAACACCACCCACTCAACTTGGCCTCAACTTTCGGTAGCTGTGAACTGGCATACCCAATAGTTGAATCCAACCACGACCGCTCTCGAACATCAGCACATCCGCTACCTGTATAGTTGCTCCCGCTTCTACTGGTACAAACACAACCGCAGCAATCGTTATGGCACCGATCGCTGCGGTCACATGCAATGAGCATTCATCAATTGCTCCACCAAGGTCAGTGACTTCCCTTCTTACCTAGACAAATCTCCTAACACCTCCCAGTCCACGCATGCAGGACGCAGTGAACTCCATCTCTTCCGGTACGTCTGCATGGGGCGGAATCACATATTCGTCCGCAGCGCCAAGCACAACGTCTATGACACTGCGCCGCTCGTCTTCAGCCTGCGACTTGTCGGAGATGCCAACGTTCGATACTGCCAAGACTTACACTGTGAGCCCAACGCTTTTCGGATTCCAGCTCACCATCTCCTACGGCATTACCAAGGTTCCGCAGTGGCTTCATTACTTTACCGGCCGTGATATCCAGTCAATACCTGTCTCATCGTCCTCCGGAACTAACGCGGCTGTTGAGCTCTCGCCTGTCAAGGTGAGCGTCGTCATGCTCATCGTTAATTTTGTAACTCTGTGGCTCGCGCAGTTTATCTCCGAAGACCTCTCAAGCTATGCTACAGCAAGCCTATTAATTTGGCTAGTGTTTGGCGGTTATGAGCAGCTAAGGCCCGATGAGATGCTGGTATTAAAACCGCTTGAGTCACCATACGCAACCACACCTGAACACCTTCAAGAAACTGGTTCTCCAGTCATCGTCATCACTCCTCCAGAAGACACTCAATCCGTTGTTGATCATGACACCAAGCTTATCACAGTGGTCGAGACCATCGACTTTCCGGAAACGACATCGGATATCGTCGAGCTATATACCCCTCAGATGCAAGCTTGGCTGGAGGAGTCGACCCTCAACTTCGTTCCCGAGCGAAACGTCACGTCTGTGGATGGTATCGCAAATTCACCGAGTCAAATCACACCCTCCGAAGGCGTCGTCCAGGCGTCGCAATTGGTCGTCCATAGTAATGACACCAATGATCTTCTCGCCTCACCCACGGTTTCGGATGAACAAGAAGCATTTCTTAGATCTATGAATGAGCTTCCTGACCTCACCACTGATACTCCCGGACTTCGGCTAGCAGCCGTTCTCCTCGAGCATGACTTCCCCACCTTCAGGATCGGTGAGGATTTCTGCGCATCGAACGACGCTTGTCAAGTCGGGCCTGTTTATTTGCCTGGTTCTGAGCAAAGTACTGAGTTGATGTCTTGGCCGGATCGTCCTGTGACGGCAGATAGGTTTGACATTGACTACATGCGCGATCGGCTCCAGAAGTATCTCCCGAGACGGACAATCGACAAGATCGCCTCCATGCAGCCCGAATACTGGTACAGGACCCGAGATCAAAGCGGCTTCAACGTACTCGTTCGTGATCTGGAAATAGAATGGCTTAGGCTGGCCAACAACGGACCTTCCAGTTACAACCTTGAATATATCAAGCTCATCACTAGACAGTCCCAGAAGCGATACACGCCTGAGTGTCCGCCCCACTGGCGTTTCCAGTACTCACCAAACGACTCGGCTAGGCCATATCTCGATGTCGAAGAGGAGTTTGCCATCAATGAAGGCATTGCTGATTACAACTTCGATTGTAGAACAGAAGAGGTGGTTGGCAGAGTACAGAATACCCTGCGAACAAACGAACAATTTCGAAAGGTAGGTTATGGCAGCGAGATCATCCTGCAATGGATCAGCAACGTCGAAGAGAATTTGTTGGTCGATCCACACGTCTACGGACGGTGCAAGTGTGGCGAGGCCGCCATGGAAGCTATACGATGGTACCGTCGACAAGATGAAAGCCACTACAATCCGAAGAAGCAGCGGTCTTTCAAGGAATTTCCCCTTCGTCAAATGTCTAAACACGAGTCCGACGATCGCTACGTTTGCGATGTTGAGCAGCGAACGGCATATCCCCGGAGCCAGCAGATCACGCAAATCTGCAAGCAGCACAGGACCGTTACGGATAGCATCTTCATTCTCGTTGACACTTCTGTCGAAAACATCAACGATCGGCTCAGCAACCCGGGTGGCATGCTTCCCGCCCCTGGCAGGAGGCATTCGTCAATCTACCCCGACGGCTGGCATGTCAAGAAACATGCCGTACAGCCTCCATTCGAGCAGCGCCCTCCCCGCTGTCGGCACGGGTTCCTTCACAGTATTTCCTGTTCCGAGTGCTTTTCACGACATCATTTCGCTCATAAGTGCCAGGAGTGCATCGAGTACTGCCTTGCTATGAACGCAAAACACCCCAATATAATGGTGCTCGACGCGGCGCACTGTGCAGCTATGGAGGCTACACAAGACCACCAAAACTTCGACCTAGCACGGGATGCGCAGACTAAGCACCGGAAAAATCTGCTCGATATCTTCATGGGGGCCAAAATTCCTCAAATCTCTTTTACATCTCCTTCTCCTGCTGTTACACCATCGGCTGGACGGAGGCGTGAGTAATGAACTCACTCCGGACTTGATTCCAGCAATCTGTTCGCCACCAGCCAAGCTCTCTCACTTCTAGGCGTATGAATCTTGTAGTACTCTTCGATAACCACTTGGCATTGTTGTTTAGATCTTTGAATAGTTCGGCATGGTGACCGATTCCCGCGAGGATTTACTTTGGCGATCTTTCGTGGGGATAGTCCTTGGCGTTCCAATAAAGTTAAGGCAGCAAAAGGAACTTAACATGCCGTTGAGATATCGTTGCTAAGTCAACCGAGGATCAGGACTTGGAATTAGGTGCTGGTTACGAGCTATAAGCTACCATAGTTGGATGTTGGCGCTAATAGGGAGTAGAAGAATTTGCTGTACTCTTTCATGTCATATCTGGCGCTTGAGGCTCTTTGGAGTCTCCAGACTCGCGGACCTTACAACCTAGTATTTGTTAGCAGTGCAAGGACACTTTGCGCAACTCATCGCTCCTTCGAGCTTCAATGAAATCATGTTCAAGGCCCTTCTCCAACTGCGCGCGAGTGGTTCATCTAAAATATGATCGAGCGTCGATGAGCGACCCTTTGAGAGGCCTGTTTGCCGGAGCGCCCTACGGGAAGAGCAAGCCGTTCGAGACTTTGGGTCTTTGGTTCGGCCCAAAAGATATGCCGAGTACCGATTGATGGAATCACCACATCCACCCGTCGGCGGGGCTGACTTTATGCGCCGTCCTCGAAATGGGGATAAACATCGCCTGCTAGCCGATCAGGTGTGATCCAACCATGGCCCACAGTCAGTGAGACTCCTAGGTTACATCTCCCAAAGTCCGCAGGCAGCTATTCCAACCTGAGATAGATAGTAACGGCATGAACTTCCAGTATCGGAGATACGCATTGATGTATAGCTAGGCTGAAGAGAGCTGTCGCTACGATCATACAGTGCTCGGGTTGCCGTTCGGCGCGAACGAAACGTGTTGGTTGAATGCCGTGGATCATCGGCCATGCCAGGCGATATGACGCAAGTACCCAAATTGCTGAGTGATATACGACCCTGTTCGTTACATTTCCTGTCGTGTCAGTTCAATCACATAGGCGCCGGCGTGGAGATGGGAGGGTTGGTGTTGGTGTTTATCAGGCAGGTTGACCGTGTCACTAGCCACAATGAGCCACACGATGACGTGTCTGGATCGCGCTAAATGCCGCCTTAGCCACAGGTTAAGCATTCTCCGCAAAGCTTGACACACCAATGCTTCTCCACTCTCAACATGGGTGAAAGCTTTGATGTTTCCTGACATACTTTCACGCCCGCTGTTTCCAACACACGCTTTGACAACACATGCGCGACGCCATTGCTACACCAGTAAAAAAAGAGCAGCGTATTGCAATTGCACCTACTTCGCGAGCATCTGGACAGTCCGCTGGTCTTGAGGCTTCAATTCTATACTTTGATGCTGCCCATGGTGTACTGCATGCCTGGATCGGTCCGGCACCAGATCCACATCGCGCGGGCGGCATGGCCGGCCCTCGGGAATAGCGGATCAGACTACCAAGTATGAGCAAGCTGACGCGTTCACACCGGGAGCTCAAAGGCGGATACACACTGTCACTGTACTCATGTCTTCCGAATCACGAAGAACATCTATGCTTTGAGGTTCAGAGTCACAATGCCAGTGCTACTGGACGCATTTCCGAG